TGTGCTCTTGGAGTAATTTTGGTAGGCTGGCCACTCCTGGGAAGGTTCACCACTGTTCCAAGTTTTCTCCATTTGAGGATAATGGCTCTGACCGTGGTTCGCTTGAGTCCCAAAGCCTTAGAAATGGCTTCATAACCCTTTCCAGACTGATACATGTCTACTATTTTGTTTCTCATCTCATCTTGTCGTGTAGAGGTTCGTAAACCTGCACCCCAGAACCTCAATGACCTGAGGGCAGCCCTTCAAGAAGAGTGGAATGCCATGCCTCATCAGACAATAAGTCGACTTGTGAACAGCATGAGACATCGTTGTCAAGCTGTAATTGATGCTCAAGAACTCATGACATGTTATTGAGACATTGACATTTTTTGTTGTGGTATACCCACGACTGTTGTTAAGCTTTTCTTTCAATAAATTGTTCGAGATGAAGAAATTACCATTGCATGCTTCTACTTAAATGCCCTACTTTCATGATATAATATCACTGTAGCAAGAACTTTTTACATTTTCCATAAATTTCAGCCGAAAGTCGAATATCCCTAACTTTTTGTGAGTAGTGTATATTACCACAGTGATATTTCACCCGTCCGTTATTGCTGTGGAAAGAATCGTGCTTTTGGAGTTATTCATGGACTTTTGAAAGTACCTTGTTTATGCTTTTACACTTAAATGTCATTTTAATGTTCGATGGTTGAAGGGTAAGTAGAATAATGTCATCTCATTGTACCCAGTTTAAAAACAAACATATTACAACGTATTATTGCATTCATAGACCGAGCCTTTCACTGATTGCTTACAGCATAATGGAAGTTACACCCATAATCCGCGTCATGGGGTGTAGGAATAAGGTGGATAGGGTTCTTGAGTTGACTGTATTGTTATTTGGAGATTTTAAAAGTTCTTCATGTTATATTATGTGTTCTTCTGATAACGGTGTTGTGTATTATCTATTAATAGTGGGGGGGAAAATAACTTGACACTGTTCTCTTCTGGCATCACAGGAACAATTAAAGATTATCCAATGCCATCCTATGAGCTTAGAAACATTATTATGACATCATTATTATGAAATCATAAAACTTTGGCAGCAGGCTGTGAAACTTTTGGTTTTATCTTAAGGGTGTAGTTTTGTTAAACCTACTCTGTTGAATGGCAAACTGAAAACCGGTCATTCCAGTGTTGATTTGGAAAACAAAAAAATACTGCATGTTATGTGAGCAGTGAGGAGCAACACAATGTGTTTGAGCGTGGAGCTTTTTCCAGCTGTCAGAGTGAAACTGAAGAGGAAAAAAAAAAAGAGTGAAAAGGAAACAGAGGCAGACACAGACATAGATGCAGATTATCCTCTCTCATTTCACATCCAGAGATTGCAGGAGCATCAACACCGCAGAGAGAGAGAGAGAGAGAGAGAGAGAGAGAGAGAGAGAGAGGGAGGGAGGGAGTCTAATACTTGAGAAATTAATAATTCTGGCCCCCGCCTCTGCAAACCACCATGAGTGCTGAGCATCACAGAGCTGCCTAAGTTTGTAACTTTAACCCAAGCAATTGATGTGGGGAGGCCCTTCAGGCAGACCTACTAATGAATGGATTGCATGTGAGAGAGGGAAGTTAAAAGATGGTCTTTTATAAAGTAATTTAAGAAAATCCTGTTAGCTGGATCAAGTACAAGAGTTTAATTTCTCAAAATGGGGGAATAAATGAAGGGTTTACCCCCCCCCCCCCCCCCC